CCCTTCTGACCCTAGAAACTATGAAACTATGAAACTAACTATAGATAACTAAGCTGTAGCCTTTTGCTTTTTCCCTGAGCCACCACCAGGCCCTGTATTTTGCTTGAAGTATTTGATACAAATGGGTAGGAAAATCCTGTCCTCCTTTGCAGACAGGAGGTGTCCAGCCCTGCACTGTGAAAGCAGATAAGCTGCTCTGAGCAGCCTGCCCAGGAAACCAGCTTAGCTGCACTGCTTCTAAAAACAAATCCAGTTTGCCAAAAGGCACCTCCAGCTCCCACATAATCGACAGATTTATCACAGGGCATGTGTACCCTGGAGCTGCTGTTCCCATGGGTGCTGCCCACCTGATGGCCCTGTTCCCACCCCATCCCTGCCAGCCTAGGTTGCCAGTGGATATAAAAGACTCGAGTTTCTCTTGCCCCTGTCAACTCATTGTCCTTGGTACTAGCATGGCTCTCCTGTGGCTGCTCTCCTGCCTGACACTGGCAAGTGCTGCTCATGGTAAGCTGTAGTGAGCCTCTTCTTCTTGTGCTGCATAGACAAGCGAGGGCCATTATACGACTAAATAATCTAGGCTGGGATTCAGGAAAACCCTGTGTGTGGACACACATGGCACAGGCTGATGTTGGGCAGGCTGACAGGCAGAAACAGTCAAAGCCCTGTGTCCAGCCGTCTCAGGGAGGGTTCTCCACTAGGGGCATGGTGTGTGAGGCTTTGTGACTTAGCAGGAAGATCACTGACCTGAGGCTCAGGGTACCTGGGCTCCATTCCTGGCTCTGACACTGGCCTACTTGTTAGACTGGTCACTGGGAATCCTTGAATTTTATTCAATGCCCTCTTAAAACATGCAGCGTTGTTGTGTGCTAGTACGCAGCTGCTGCATCGCACTGGTGGGCTCTGGGAAGGATAAGGTTTGTTAGTACAGTGAGAGCAGTGGGAAATGATCTGATAAAGTTTCATGGTGGTTTCTAGCTGTGCTCAGTCACATACCACTTCCTGAAATTCAGCATTCAGGGCTGAAATGTCCTAT